ACACTAGCCCAGATCTATTTCAGACTCTTCAAAGTAGTTCAGAGTTATTACAGACTCATCAGAGGTTCACGATCAGAGTTAATCAAAATACAAGATGGATCTCTACACGTTATACGGTGTCCGAAGCAATTAAAAGATCGCATTGCAATCGGATAAAATTGTTTTGATAAGTTAATTAGTATTTCATATGATCTAAAACACTGACAAAGTACCTAATCTCTTGATTGTTTTATAATTTTATACAAAATTATGTTACATAAATATTTTGTCGTAATTATCGCGCTAGAAATCGTGTTAATTTAACTCACCTCTAAAATATAAATTCATACCTTTTTAGCAAAATTATTCCAACGATGTATAACACTTCCAAAATAAATCTGAGTCAGACCACACCAAATAAAACTAGTTGCAATTAAAAATACGTTGCTTTTTCCATGTAAAATTAGCATATACGTTGAGAATAATGAAAAATGGAAATTTGATAAAAATAATACAAAGTGCAATATAATTCCAATAATAATAGACGGAGTACATAATAAATTATATTCTTTTAATATCACTTGAATTTGACAATTTTGATCGACGATGTAATTTAAGTTATTAAAATTATTAATATCCATTAATTTTTTATGAATAGTTTCGAATTGATAATTAATTTCTTTTAAAAGGTTAGAAATTATCACATCATTCATGTAAATTACTTCGAACCCCATAATAAAAGCGATTTGGGTTAAAATCGTCCCGTTCGCTATCGATCCGATGACGTGTTCAACAAGAGAAAAGGAATTTATAATTGTTAAAGATCCAATTATTGCAACAATAATTAAAAAGGCGTTTATTCGATTTCTATTTATGTGTAAATTTCCGTTGATTTTGTTTGTTTTCAAATAAATCTCTTTGAATTTTCTTCTTTTAACAAAGTTGTACAAAGGTATTATTATCGTAGCATATCCACCGGTTAAATAAACACCCAAATCGGCTGCTTTAACAATTCCATTCGCGTTTTCGTAAGTTATTTTATAAAAAATTAAAAACACACTTGTTAATGAAGTTATGGATAAGATTAATAATGGGGCATAGATTAATATTGAATAAAATAGTGTTAATTTCGATTCTGGTTGAATTCTAAAAAACGCACAACCTAAAATATTACCGAACCACAATAAAATATTATTGTGTTTAGTGAAATCGTTTTTTAAATTTTTCTTGTTGAAAAACATTGTGAAATTTACCACTCACGTTAACACAATCAATTTTAATGTGACAATGAAAATATATTGCTTCAGCAAATAGTTCATAAGTTATTTATTGGATAAAAAAAAATTAATTTACTGAAAGGTTCTTTTTCGAGGTTTTTTATCAACTTTATGATAAACGATTCGTTCAAATTTAGGTTAAATTAAATAAGAAATAATGATGGAAACTTATTTATTAAACTTACTGTCTTCGTTAACACTTTCTTGGAGTACATAAGCTTAGCCCTAAATTTCTCGTCTTATTTGTTAGTGAGACTAACTCAAAATCCTTGATTTCTGACTCAAACGCTAAAGTATTCTCTGCTGGAATCTTGTATCATACAAGAAATACTTCTATTAGAGTTCTAAGACTATTAGGATGCGTATTGCTTTGTTCGTCAGCCAACTCTAATAAAATCGATGAATTTAAACCCTCTGTAGCACATACAGGCTGGTCCCTTTTACGTGAGACAAGCGATTATCTCAAAAACAATTCATTTATGTAAATGAAAGTTGTTCTGTACGTCTAACATTTCTTGACCTTGACCTTATTTTCAAGGTTATATGAAGGTCATGATCAATTTTTTAAATGGCACCCTATATAGTTTATTGTAAAATCTGAATCTGTGGATAAAAGTAAAGTAATTAAAAAAAAAAAAAAGTTTACTGTGTGGTTTTGCCTGTACAACGGCAAAACATCTTTTGAAAAAAATTGAAACTTCTTCAGAAACAATTAACTAACGTTTATAATCTAGCTAGAAAAAATAAGATTTATGAATTTTTAAACATTTTCCTACCCACTTCGATACATTGTTTTTAGTTCTTAATAAAATAGCCTTTGTCAATTTGATAATAGAATAACGCATAAAAAATAAGAGTTCGTGGAACTGCTTATGTCGGCATTTTCAGAATATCGCTTTCAGAGACTGAATTGGTTGAATTGTTTTAAAATGTAACAGGTGAAACTAAATTTCCATAAAAACTGCTTGGCAACAAATTCTGAATTCATTCCAACGTTTTACATTAAGGCAAAATGTTTAAACTAAGTCATTAAATCATGGATGCTCTAAGTGTGGCAGAAAAAGTAAAAATGATTTTTATTTATGGAGATAGTGGAAGAAGAGTTGCTGATGGTATAGCTTTGTATCGAGAACGTATTCCTGATCAAAATACGCCTTCGAGAAGTATCTTTTACAGAGTTGTGAATGATTTCACTAACACTGGTAATGTGGAATTAAGGGCCGGTTGTACCACCTCCCGATAAGTTTATCCGATAGATAAATTGGCGCACTTAGCCAATGAGAGCGCTTAAAACCGCTGTAACCATGGTAATTATCCGCTAGATAGTTTATCGGGAGGTAGTACAACCGGCCCTTAGAAAAAGAACTTGGCGAGCAACTGTAACTACTTTTACAAACAAAGGACAAATCAATAGACATAACATGCACTAGCTTTAGATCGGGATTATGCTGGGCGATGGATTGGAAGGGGAGGTCCAATTTCCTGACCTGCCAGATCATCTGATTTAACACCTCTTGATTTTTTTTTGGGGGCGTCCTTAAGGATTTTTTTTTTTTTTTTGCGCTGAGGAGGAGAAAATGCGTTACGCACCCTGGCCTACTGTTGGCGCTTGTAGATGGTGATGGTGTTGGGAAATACTTCGGCCGAAAGTGTGGGACTCTAGTCCCTAAGTTACCCACTAAAAACTCCCCCTCTTTCCCCAGTTCCGGGACCACTCTTCTGGGTATTTCATCGGAGCATTTCGTGTGCTTGGGGATCCCCCATCCGTCTTCAGTGATTCTTCAGTACTTTAGTGGATCTACTGCTATTCATTCTATCGGGGAGCCCTCTCTGTACTCAGCTTCGTGTAGATGGACTAGGGCGACATCCATTTCAAGTTTCTTCTGGGTGAGGACCTTCGTCAAAAAGGTAACGATTGTTGTCCAAGTCGCTTCGTCACTAATCATTTTGTTGACTAGCGTGTCGGGTGCTATAGGGCCTATATTTGCCGTCAACTCTTCCCTTTCGGTTTTCCATCTGTGGCAGTGGAACACTGTCTGTTCGGCGTCATCTGTCAGCCCATCCGTATATGGGCAAGCAGGGCTATTTACTTTTCCGATGTTCCAGAGGTATTTACGAAAATATCCTTGCCCCGTTAGGATTTAGGTAATGTAGTAATTGACTTCGCCGTGCTTTCCATCACGCCAAATCTGAATACGCGGGATCAGTCGAGCCGTCCATCTGCCTCGGGTTTCCTCGTCCCATAGCCTCTGCCATTTATCACAGGTATGCATTTTAGCCTGCTTACGCGCTTGTATCGGTTCCACTGCGTCTTTTGTCTCATATACCTCCTTTTTTTCCGCAGCTAGTAGGCCAAGGGGGGGTATGCCAGCGATTAAAAGCACCGCAGGTCCTGACACTGTTCTATACGCAGATGTAATCCGCAGGGCACTACTTCTTTGGACTGATATGAGACGTTTGCGGCTATCCTGCCTTAGATCATCGGTACAGATCTCGCAGCCGTATAACATTATGGCATTTGAGACCTCCATAAGTAGTCTGCGCTTGGTCGCAGTCGGTCCGCCAACATTTCCCATTATGCGACTCAGCATTGTTGTAATTTTTGCTGCTCTATCGCAGGCACACCTCACATGATCTCGGAATGTTAGTCTATTGTCGAGCGTTACCCCCAAATATTTCAGGGCTTTCCGACTGACGATTTCGGTCTCTTGAACTTTGAAACCTATCTCCAGCGGTATGCGGCGTCCAGTAATAAGCAGGATGATTTCCGTTTTATCAGCCGCAAGGGTCAGACCGCGGTCCATCATCCAACAGCTTGTCCTTCTCATTACTCTGTTTATACTTCTCTGAGCCTCGGTTTCGTTCCGTGCCTGGATCACCGCAGCCAAATCGTCCGCGTAGCCCACAAGAAAAACTCCGTCAGGCATCTGCAGCCGCAGAATCCCGTCGTAGAAGACGTTCCACAGCACCGGGCCGAGGACGGACCCCTGCGTCACTCCGCACGTCATCCTCTTTGTTCTTGGGCCTTGTAGGGTATCGTAGGATAGAATCCTATTCGTGAAGTAATTTCCCAGAATCCGCATCAGATAGTCCGGGGTTGCGAAGTTTCGTTCCAAGGCATGGAGGATCTCCTCCCAGCGCGCAGAGTTAAACGCGTTTCTAATGTCTAAGGTGATCAATACTACGATGGGCCTAGAGTAATGGTTTTTTCGTTGAGCCTCCTTAAAAGTTTGGGCTATTTCTTTGACGGCTCCTATGGTCGATCTGCCAGTGCGGAAGCCGTGCTGTCTGGTTGCTAGTCCGCCTGCGCTCTCTATTACATTATTCGGGGCGTCCTTAAGGATAATGTATGTATATTTCTATACTATATTTCTATAAAGCAACATATACAATGCTATCTTATAGGTCGATGTATCAAAAATACACATGTGAGTTGGGTTTCCTCGCATCGTCACTATCAACGGAGTATTTAGGCATTACAATCGTGGAGAGGTAGCCTTTCTCGCGTTTTCTTTCATTGCTATGACATTGAGAGCACTGAGGTGTAATGAGATTGAGCACTCAAAATACACATAAGTATCAAGGTTACATAATCTTGCGAATTTAAATTTTCCTTATTTGTTTTATCTTAGTATACTTTAAAACGCTCTTTATTATAAACTAAAGTTTTTGCCGCGATTTTGTGTGTGTGAATTCTCAAATTTTCATAAAGGTTTTATTTTGATTGCTTTAAAAGCAAGCAACTGGTTCTTAAAAGTGATGATTTATTGTAAATGTTTGTTTTTTTTTTTTACAAAAATATACTTTATCTACTATATTTTATCTTCTACTTTACTATATTAAATTTAAGAAATGATCAATAAAATGTTTATAAATGATAGCTTCTAAATTGTAACCCATAAAATTAGGTGAATGAAAGTTATCTCTTTTCGATTAATGTTATTTATTGATTCCTTTCATGATTTCTAAGAAAAGTCCATCCAAAAATGATTCCTTCACCATGAAATTAGTGACATCCGTTCTTTCACTTTTTATTTTTGTCAGCGCATCTATAATTGAACACAAATCAGAGTTCTTAATGGAAACAGTTAAAATGTACTAAAAAAATACAGGAATTAAAAATACATATTTTTAAAATAAATCCATGAACTATACATTTTTATAAGTTACTTTAGAAACGTCCACAAGCAACTCTATTAAAGCGTGTAATATTGGGTCGCATGGTTCACCCGTCTTTACTTTGATTTGAGCAATATGACCGAGGTTAAACATTTCTTTTAATTCATTTGCCGTATAACATTCATCATGTTTAACTCCCTCCACTCCCATTACTAAGAATCTGAAATGAAATGGTAAATTTTTGCTCGTATTATATTAAATACCTAACGACCAAGAATCGGAAATGTTTGTTACTTGTAACTACTGCCTTCAAACTTTTTAATAAAAGTAAATAACATTAGTTTCTGATTGGTTGGTAATTCGATGTATGTGTCATGAAATATCTGGGCATTATTTAATATAAGTTACTTCGATTCAAATTTACAACCAGTTAGAAACGTTTTTCTGTTTAAAGTTAAACAAACATAATGTCACTATTCAAACTAAAGCAGTTTCAATTATTCTTGATCGCACAGTACATATATCTATCATTACTTATCACAGAGTAATTCATATTCATTCATAGCATGTGACGTAAAAAGTAAAGCTGATTTCAAACGTGCTTTAGTTTCCATTAAGAACATCATTAGTTTTTCTCTGCTTTCTGGATCAAGGCCCGATGTAGGTTCATCGACTATAATAATATCGGGATCTTTTATCAGTGCTATGCAGATATTTAATTTTCTCTTATTCCCTCTGCTGTAAGTACCACATGGCTTATTTTTAAATTTATCTAAATCGCATTTTTCAAGTAATTCATCTATGATTTTCTCGTCAATGAATGGATTTCTTAATTTGCCAAAGTAAGTAAGTAGCTCTTTTCCAGTAAAAGAATATAGTAAAGAATGTTGTTGAGGACAATATCCAATTAATGACTACAAAAAAAAATGAGTAGGTAAGTTATCAGCAATTTCAAGACCTTGACCTTAAAATTATTCAAGGTCAAGAGCGTGAAATAAACGAGAGAGAAAAATCTTAAGAAAAATAAAGGGACCAATCAAGGATGAACCACGAACTGTATCAAAAATACATGAGGAACAACGAGTGTCAGAATATATATATAAAGCTCAAACGGTGAACATGAGCAGGGCATGTTCAGAGAATATCGGATGGAAGAGTACCAAAGAAGATACTAGCAGAACTGCTTAAAGGTTGATGGCCGGTTGGTAAATCCAAAGCATGATGCGGATGACGTTTGGAAGGATGCCAGGAACATGTTAGGAGCTGTAAACTGGAAAAGAGCATCAGAGATCAGTGATGGATGGAAGAGGAAAATTGAGTAGGCTAAGGCTCTTATTGGGCTATAACGCCATTGGATGGATGTACTTTTCATTCTTTTAAGATATATTCCAAATTTTGCATTTAAGTGTTATTATGCACATTATATCAACAATTCTAATCCGAAATCCTACTTTTTATGTCGAAAGAAAAACAGAAGACAACTCAATGCGAATATCAAGAAGATTAAAAACATGTATACTAGTTGACAACAAATAGTCTATGCATTATACCAGTGGTATTCAAACTATGGGTCGCGACCCAAAATGGGGACGCGAAAAGTTTTTTCGGGGTCGCAAGGTGGATGAAATAATTCCAAATAAATTTAGTAGAATACATACACATATATTAGTTTCTAAAACGTATAATTTCATTTTAAATTTTTGATAAATTACTGTAATTTTAAAATCAACAAATTTTGAACGAACTATATACGGTGTGGGAAAAGTCAGTTAACTGCTACTAATAATTTATAGATAATTAATTAATAATCAGTAATTTATTGTAAATTTAGTCAAATTTAATCCTTTTTATTCATTTAATTTAATAAGTACAAATATTTTAATGCAATTTCATATTTTTTTATTAATATCGGTTAACTGACTTCTCGCACCCTGTATATGGAACGACGTCGCGTACAGCCGACCCAAAGTAGATTGGCCTGTGAAGGTCACTACTGCGCCGAAGTGGGAGTGCGACGGTTAATCGTTAAAGAGAGAGACGGTTCAACCGTTTGCCACTGCGCATCTGACCTTCACAGGCCAATCTACTTTGGGCCGGCAGTAATTCGTTTTCGGGGAATCACATGACTTGGCAAACAAGTTCAGCGTGGCGCATTTGCGAGTGTAGTTGTTATTTAGCAATAAAATTTCGTGTTTAACTTACAATTAGTACTTGTCATAAACGGACAACTTAACATACAAATTTCAAAATCATGGATAAGTGGCTAAAAACTGGTAAAATAATTGATAAAACAGACAATGGAGAAACAAATATCGAGAAGAGTGCTTCGATTTCGGTTGATTTATCTTCCGACACGGACCAAATACGTGCTGAAGCTTCTGTTTCCTCAGCGTCGACAAATAAAGAAGTAAAAGCAAACAAACGGGTTCGTAAGTTCGATGATGAGTTTATAAAATATGGTTTCGTATGTACTGAAGATGATGAACCAAGGGCTAGATGTGTAATGTGTCTGACAGTGCTGTCAAACGAATCACTGAAACCAAATAAACTGCAGAGACACCTACACACGAAACACCCAGAATCCGTAGGTAAACCCGTTGAATTTTTTCAGAAAAAAGTAGGTCATTTGAAATGTAAACAAAATTTTATGACTACTTTTACCGACGTTAACAAAAAAGCATTGGAGGCTTCATATCGAGTGAGCTATCGTATAGCAAAATCTAGCAAACCGTACACAATTGCTGAAGACTTAATTGCTCCAGCAGCCCAAGATATAGCAGCCATTATGTTTGGCGAAAAGAAAATGCAACAAATATCTCAAATACCACTCTCGGATACAACAGTTAGCCGCAGAATATTTGAAATGGCAGAAAATGTGGAAAACGAAATTATAATGAGAATTCGAAAAAGTAAATTTTTTAGTCTTCAATTGGATGAATCTACGGATTGCCAAAATGCTGCACAACCAATTTGTTTTGCAAAATATGGATACAAAAATGAAGTAGTTGACTTTCTTTTTTGCAAGGAACTACAAAGAACTACGGGTGAAGAAATTTTTAAATCGGTAAACTCTTACATCACGGGAAACAACAATATTTCTTGGGAAAATTGTGTGGGTGTGTACAGTGATGGAGCTCGTGCCATGGTTGGAAAACACAGCGGACTTCTAGCCCGAATCAAAGAAGTTTCACCCAATGTAACATGAAAAACATGCCACCGAACTTAATGTCTGTCTTAGATACTGGAGTTAAAATAATAAATTTTATAAAGGCGCGTCCTCTGAACTCAAGGATTTTTGCGCACATATGCAAAAAAATGGGTAGTGAGCATCAGCATCTTCTTTTACATACAGAGGTTCGTTGGCTTTCGAGGGGTAGGGTTCTAACGAGACTATTTGAACTTAAAAAAGAAGTGTTTGTGTTTTTAAATGATAATGATAAAGACAAAAAATTTACAAACTTTTTAACCGATGAAGAATGGCTATGTAGGTTACCTTACTTAAGTGACATTTTTCTCAAATTAAACGAGTTGAATTTAAGTCTTGAAGGTGAACAATTAAATATATTAGTGGCCAATGATAAAATTAAAGCCTTTACAAAAAAAATAGATTTGTGGTGCTCATACTGCAAGGAGAATAATTTTGCAGCATTTCCAACATTAGAATGTTTTGTTATAGAAAACAAGTTCAAAGTTATTTAATCGATTGTTAAAGATATAACATCTCAATTGACAGATTTAAAATGTCAATTTAGTACTTATTTTCCGGAAGATTTTTCTAACTTTGACTGGATTCGAAATCCCTTTCAATGTAAATTACCCATTTCATTTTAGTGAAAAACTAATTGAGTTATCATCTGATGGAGAATTACAATTAATTTTCAAAGAACTTAAATTGAGCAATTTTTGGCTTAAAGTTCGAAATGAATATCCAGAACTGTCTGATGAAGCTCTGAAGGTATTATTACCATTTGCGTCATCTTATATGTGCGAGTTGGGATTTTCCCAATTTCTCTACCTAAAATTTTTTCTTTTGTATTGATTTTTGATGAAGTTCCTACGTGTACGCCATATTATAATTTTAATAGTTATAAATCGTTAATGTTGATTTTGAACCTAATATTTGTTAACTGCAGAGTTGATATTCTGCTTATTGTAGGTACTTGTTTTAACATAATATATTTGCTATGTATGAAACAAAAAAAATAAAAACAAATTAACATCTTCTTGATATAATAATACCTCTCCCAATTTTTGGAACAACTAGAATTAAATTATTATTTTAAGTTTGGGTCGGCATGTCACCTCTGTGTACCATTTGGGGTCATGCAGCCAAAATGTTTGAATACCACTGCATTATACTGTTGTATCTAAAAACATACATGTTTGTCTTTATAAATTACACCTTCGTCTGGTTGTTCTTGATTTGTTAGTATTTTAAATGATGTAGTTTTACCGGATCCATTAACTCCAATGAAACCACAACATTCTCCTTTGGATACCTCAAAAAGAAAATAATAATACATAACATTATAATGCAAAAAACTTAACTTAAATAAAAATGTTATTACCTCAAATGATTGATCTTTAACAACTTTTATAGGAGCCGATTTGAATATTGATCCTAATATACCGCTTTTGTAGCTTTTTTGTACTCCTTTAGCGCCAAATGTAACATTTTCTTCAGGCTTTCTGAAAATATTTTTCCAATATGTATTTCCACTATCCATTATAATGATTGTAAATAATATAATCACAGCCGATACAGTGCTTATATAAAGATAAAGTGGATATGGTATATAAGCTCTCTCTTCTGTACACTTAACACTTTCTGGATCTAAAACCAACACAAGATTGTAATAGTTTTTAAAATATCAAGAGTTTAAATTTACCGCAGCAAGGTAAAGGTGTATCATAACAGATTATTTCTTTTTGTTCCGGTGTTTTCACATCCCAATTGTGATTGTTGATCATTTTTTGGCAAAAAACGGATAAAGTGTAAGTAAAAACAACATGAGGATCGATTATCGAAAAAATGTAAAGAAATAATTCTAGACCAAAATATTCCTTGAGTACAAACGTCATAGCAACCAGAACCGAATTTAACATATTCAGTATTAATAATACCGCAATTGCATTCGAAACTGATGATTGGAAAAAGCAATAAAGATATGTATGCGGAATCATAGTTATCCCATACAAAATCAGGATACTTACTAAATTCCCTAAAACAATAATCAATTTAAATTCGAGATAAACATGTTTACAAAATGTAATAGTTACAATAACCACTTGTTTGCAGTATCACGAAATTTAAAGTGGAAGCTATTCCCAAAACCATAATCGGTATTATAATAATAATAAGATACAATAGTATATCTATAACGTAATTAAAAAACCAGTAAGGAAGTGAATTTAATTTGTAAATCCTGGATAAGGTTTTTATAAATGAGCTTGTTTCTAATGTCGGCAAAGCAGAAAACATAACGACAGAAAATAAACAAGCGTTCGACAAAAGTATCACCCAAGATATGATGTAATCCGCTAAAAATACGTTCTTGGGTTGATTTCCGTGTTTCGCTGATCTTAAAGGTGTATTCGAAGCAATTATTTCACGATTTTCGTCAGTTAAATATTTTACAAGAACGTTTGTAATTAAATTTAAGGATATAGGAGCTCCATGAATGGGGTGATTTCCATACATGACCATAATTTTTAGAGGTTTCGAGGTTTCATCGCAAATAATCTTGGCCCCCACTATTAGCTTCTGTTTGTATTCTACAATATTATTAAATCCAACGTCGATTACAGCTAAAAAAAAAACAAAAATAGTCGTATTAAATTTATTAACAATTTCACATAATTTTTACTTTTCGAAATGTTTTCAACTTTATGTGCTCTTGACGAAGTCGATTCGACTAGACTTGTAAATATGCGTTCTATCTTCGTTCCATCACAATTCGTTTCATAATAGACTTTTGTGATCCCGTATGAATCTAAACTAAGCGGAAGTCTTTTACCATCTTTGCTAAGGTTTCTATATCCGCTGTCGTTCATGGTAAAAGTTAAGACGAAAAATAAATAAAAGAGAATAATCTAAAGAATTAGAAATTGATGCAAAGAATTAGTTAAAAACAAATATTGAGATTAAGGCCATTTTTTATTAAAATCTAATCAATTAAAACCGTGTTTTCCTGGAGTAATATTCATTCAGGAATGATTACGAACAATATGATTACACAGTGCAACAGCAATTCTGGGGGGTAAAAAATTTTAAGTCAGGGTGAAAGTACTAGGTCAATATAGTAAAACCTCCAAAGGGTTTGGCGTTCTCAGCCCAAACTTTTTTTTTATGGCCTTTTATATTTCTTTCATTATTGATGTTTGTTTGCTTAGTTTTTCAGTTATAACTCAAGAATCATTGATGATTTCTCATTTCCTTCTTCAGCAAAGACTAAGGCTTAGCTAAGGCTTAAATAAATGATTTTCATTAATATATCCATGTAAAAAATTAAGTTGGGCTAATTTTATAGACTGAAATTTTCAAAAAATTGTCAAATTTCGAAAAAAAAATTCCCTTTGAAAAATAACATCTTTACTCGAGAGTTCTACGAATTGTAACTATAAAAGAGTATTCTAATATAAGTATATAGTAATATAGTGGTACTATATTAGAGAGAGATAGAACAATATTTATTTGGAATATAAAAATAATAACTATAACAAATACGAATAAATTAAAAAAATACACTGACCGGCAAAAAAAACCGGCCACTAAAATTTAGCCACAATTTCAAAGCAGGGTTTCTCGCGAACCACTAATTCGATTTTGATGATTCTTTTTTTGATTGAAAGGTTGATTCTTCTGTAACAATCCTGCCATAAAAATTTTTATTCGGACATTAATTTGAGCATATATGGGGTGCAAAAATGAGAATAATTTTTTTTCTCGAAATTTTTATTACCCTGTGGGGTGCAGATGCTACAGCAGAGGGTGTTAACTGGAATCAAACGGTAGCCCAATCTTTTCTGAACAGTTTGTTTTTTTATTCACTCTATTATCTCTACTACTAACGAAGATGCAGTGTTTTAGAGCGAACGCCTGTGAAAACAAAACAAACAAGCATAACAAATCTAAGGTGGAGCGCTAGGTAGCGTATGAGAGTTGTTTCGAATAGTAAATTGACGGTTGTTAAAGATGCCGTTGTCAGTAACTGATGTTGCCCGTATTGTTACTTTAATTGAGGATGGCAAAAGTCAGCGGTACGTTGCCTATACGTTGGGTATACCACGAACAACAGTTCAGGATACCTAGAACCGATATGTGGAAACAGGAAATTTTACTAGGCGGCAAGGTTCCGGTAGAAGATGAGTGACAACGGCAGTTGATGACCGATTTATTATTCTAAAAACTCTGAGAAATCGTAGAACGACAGCTGTAGAAACTCGCCATCGTCTTCAAATGGTGCGTGGGGTTGATGTAAGTGAAAGAACCATTCGTCGAAGACTTGCTGAAAGTGATCTGACTGCAAGAAGACCTGCCAAAACACAGCGCCTGCTCCAAAGACATCGGCGAGCACCAAATTGAAGAATTTGGGCGCGTACATACAAATTGGGGAATGGAACAATGGAGTAAGGTGCTCTTCACTGACGAGTCCCGATTTTGTCTCCGTTCACCTGATGGTCGAGTATGAGTGTGGAGACGTCGTAATGAAAGCTTTGCGACCTGCACAATTTCGGAAAGAGTACCTTTTCATGGAGGTTCGGTCATGGTATGGGCGGGTATTTCGACGGAAACGCATACAGCGCCCATCTTTGTTGAAAATGGCACGCTAAATGCCCAACGTTATATCCAAGATATTCTGCAAGAAGCTGTCGTGTCCTCCCATTTGATTGTTGATAGTAGACAAAACCACTACTCATCCGTAAAAAGGACTTTCCTCCATTGCTCGATTTCCCAATTCACATGTAAGCGTGCAGATTGAAGACGGGTTCGTCGATATCTTGGAAGCAGCCTCGGTCCTTTGGCAGCCTTCTTGCAGCCAGATTACTTCTAGCAAGTTTTCAGCAAATGGTTCTCTCACTGACATCAACAACGTGCACCATTTGAAGACGACGCCGAGCTTCTATAGCTGTCGTTCTGCGATTGCTTAGAACAATAAAACGGTCATCAGCTACTATTGTCACTCATCTTGTTTTCACAGGCGATCGCTTTAAAATACTGCATCTTCGTTAGTAACAAAGATAATAGAGTGAATAAAAAAAGAAAATACTCAGAAAAGATTGGGCTACTGTTTGATTCCAGGTAGTACCCTCTGCTGTAGCAGTTGCACCCCACAGGGTGTTACAAATTTCGAGAAGAAAAGTTTTTCTCATTTTTCTCAACCCGTATATGTTCAAATTAAAATCAGAATCAAAATTTCTATCGCAGGATTATTATAAAAGAATCAACCTTTCCATTAAAAAAATAATCATCAAAATCGAATGCGCGGTTCGCGAGAAAGCCAGCTTTGAAGTTGTGGCTAATGTATAGTGGCCGGTTTTTTTTGCCGGTCAGTTTACATATATAAAACAAATATAAGATACGTCCAAAAGGGCTATAGACCTGAGTCTTCCTGCCCGAAGACCATTGATTTGATGAAAACTAACAAAAATTAAGGACAAACAAAGTTTATATGTTCATAAACATTGCTTTAGAGTGTCATCGCTATCGCAATCATCGCTGTCATCAGTTTCTAAGCCACACATAATGTCAACTTGTGACTCCATTGCTGACCCTACTGCAACTTCTGAAAATTCCTCATCATCGGGATAATCCATGTCTTCGAACACATGTCTACCCCACCAGCTCAGCGACTGTTTTCCTCTGTATCTGTGATTTGTTTTTTTTATTAAAATGAGTTTGAAAAAAAATCTCATAGATATTACTTAATTTTACATGACATAGCAACTTGATGATAGACTTGTTCATCAGATTCAGTGGCCAATTTTCTGCTGAAGTAGTGCAGATGATGTAAATAGTGAATTTTCAATGTGACGCCAATTTTCGAGAACAATGTTAACATCCTGGCGACAGAAACATCGTAGTTGCTAGAACGATGCTTTCCCAACAAGCCTTCTATTACTTCTTTAATTGCATTCCAAGCATTCAATTGAGCGTTAATCAAAATATTGTTAAATGCGTCACTTTTAATAAGCTTTCGTATATCTGGACCATTTAGTACGCCTAATGGAAAAAATGAATTTATTGCGATAGAAAATCATGAGAAATATGTTTGAAAAAATATGAGTCTCGGTAAATTAATTTCAAACACAAGAAAACTGTATCTCGTTTGGCGACAGTTTTGATGAAACAATTCCAGTTTCTTAACAATTCCAAGTTTAATGTGCAATGGAGGCAGCAATATCTTCTCTTTCGGCACCAGAGGTTTACGAATAATATTGGCCATTTCTAACCTGCTGTGGTTTCTATGATTCCATTCGTGGCATGCATATTGGTTTCCGGTAAACCTTGTGTCCCAATCGCACAAAAAGCACATATATTTTATATAACCGCTTCGAAGGCCGCAAAGCAATGCTACAACTTTTAAATCGTAGCATATGCGCCACATATGTTTAGCGTAGTTAACCATTTTTAAAATATGTTCTAGTGCATCATATGTTTCTTTCGTTTCTGTACTATACGCGATTGGAACTGAAGGTTTTTCATTGGTCTTATGCAGCAAAACCTCTTTCAAGCTGAATTTTGAACAGTCATCTGCTTCATGTTTTATTTCCATTGCGTCCATCAATTTTCCTACATCCGAGCAATATGCAGAGTTTTTTCATCATTCACAACAAATAAATTTTGGAGTGTTGCCTGACGACTTCGATATGCTGTGACTTTCGTACCGGCTGCCAAAAGATTGTTTGATTTCAAAAACGAAACCAGCTGTTCTGATTTATGCTGTATCAATTCCAATTTAGCAATAATGGAATCAAACTGATGTTGATTTATTAAATTAGGCTGATTGGATACAGATGGCTCGGGATCATCACTTGAATCATATGTTGCTGCAAAAGTCGGAGCAGTCACAGAGAATAGAATATCTGGGCTGAAACATTTTGGCACAGGAATGTAGCACGACTGAAGCAATGGTCTTTGGCCACTTGCAACACCAACGTAATTATACGATTTTCTTACAGTTTTTCTTAATGCGGCTTCTTTATTCGCACATGCTTAGCAATTCAATGGATTGTGACCGTCGCCAGGATTAGTCCAAATCATTGGAACACCGAATGGCATAGATTCACGTCTTCTATTTTTCCAATCCATTAGACAATTGTAACAACTTTTACACACTATATTTGACACCCAATTTTTGTTCACTACAACATTTTGGTGGGAGTACATCTTGTATGTTTGAACAAAATATCCACTGAAATTTCCCTTTTTTTCATGTTTTGACACATATTTACCACAGCAATAGCAAAAGCTATTTAAATCTGGCTTACACACTTCCATTTTTCGCGTTAAATTGAATGTTTATGTCCATACAAAATGTGAAATACGTATTGTGGAGCGTATACCACATAAGAATTGTTTTATTATTTTGTTATAATAAAAAATATTCAATTTTAATGATAACGTGTATTTTAGGTTTTCATAGTAATGCTGTTAAACCAAGGACAGTAGAATCTAACAAAATAACTGTCCATGAAAAAAACAAAGATAAATGACTGTTAATTGCCCTATTAACTGTCATTGCGGGGCATGGCTATTTGCCACGCCCTGTTAGCTGTCATTACGGGGCGTGGCAAATGGTGTGACGTATTTGCAGGCAGGTTGTCACAACAATGGATGTGTCAAATGTAGCATGCATTTTTTTTCGAACTCATTTTAATAAAAAAACAAATCACATATACAGAGGAAAACAGTGGCCGAGAGCAATACTTGCGGAAATTTGCTGGTGGAGTAGATTTGTGTTCGAAGACATGGATTATCCTGATGATGCAGAATTTTCAGAAGTTGCAGTACCCAGCCCCGAACAATCACCATCGAAAAGGCCTAGACTCTAGAGCAATGTTTATGAACATATAAACTTTGTTTTTCCTTAATTTTTGTTAATTTTCATCAAATCAATACTCTTCGGGCAGGAAGACTCAGGTCTATAGCCCTTTTGGACTTATCTTATACGTGTTTTATAGATTTTTTTTTTTTTTCAAAATTTGACAATTTTTTCAAGATTTCAATCGATTAAATTAGTCCAACTACATTTTTTACATGGATATATTAATGAAAATTATTTATTTAAGCATTAGCTAAGTCTTAGTCTTTGCTGAAGAAGGAAATGAGAAATCATCAATGATTCTTCAGTTATAAGTTATAACTGAAAAACTAAGCAAACAAACATCAAGATAAGGAAAGAGATATAAAAAGTTATAAAAGAAAAGTTTGGGCTGAGAACGCCAAACCCTTTGGAGGTTTTACTATACTGGCCAAGTACTTTCATCCTAACTTGGAATTTCTCACCCCCCAGATAATGACCCCGAAAATGTTCCACAGTGTTATATTTATAGTATACTGCCAGTGTTGTCAAAAATTTTTGAAATGCTATTGAAAAATCAATTAATCAATTATTTTGAAACTAATAATATTTTTAACAAACAACAATTTGGCTTTAGAAAAGGACTCTCTACGGCACTGGCTATACAAAATTTTATCGAGTATGTGGTCGATGGTTTTGAGGCGTCGCAATACACTGAAGCTAGTTTTTTGGATCTTACCAAAGCTTTTGATTGCGTGTCCCATTCTATTTTAATACGTAAATTGTACGCTTACAATGTCGCCCCGGACGCTTGCAAGCTTTTGTCATCTTATCTTACAAATAGAAGTCAATTTGTTAAATTTAACTCGGTGATGTCTAACCCTGGGAACATTACAAGTGGTGTTCCTCAGGGGTCAATTTTGGGTCCTATTTTATTCTTAATATATGTAAATGATTTGCCTTTTTTCCTGAGTGGTGGAAGCTCAAGTTCAATCTTGTATGCGGATGACACAAGTTTGCTGACAAAACATGATTCTGACGTTGATGCCAGGGGATTGCAAGATTTAATGTTAAAATCGGCAAGGCATTGGTTTGCAAGTAATCGTCTAACACTGAATGCTGATAAAACAGAAGTAATGACCTTTACACTAAAGCAAACTACTATTAAATCCTATGTAGCGGATAGAGGAGTCAGGTTTTTGGGTGTTCATCTGGATTCCGGGCTTACCTGGAATGTTCATGGTGAGAAATTAGCCTCACGCTTAAGCTCCACTGCCTTTCTGTTGGGTCGTCTGTCTGAGTTTTCCTCTACTCGGGTATTGCGTTCCGCGTATTTTGCGCTTTTTCAGAGCCATCTAAGTTATGGGTTACTGGCCTGGGGACATGCCCCGATCAATAAAAGAATATTTGGGATACAAAGAAGAGCTATTAGAAATATTGCTAACTTGAACTATACTGATGACTGTAGGCCTTCTTTTATCAAATTAAAAATATTAACACTTCCTTCATTATATATTTTGGAATGTTTAAAGCTCACTTTTTTACATCATAGTCAGCACAGGAAAAATAGTGATGTTCACAATTATGGCACTAGGGGGAGGAATGACATTCGACCGGAGGCACTGCGACTGGAGAGGTCGAGAAACGCATATAATTACTATGGAGTGAAGTTCTTCAATGTCTTGCATTGTGGTTATAGAAGCTTACCTTATAAGGCTTTTGTAACCAAAATTAAAAATGTTTTAGTGGGGAAGGCGTATTACTCCATAGATGATTTCTTAAACGATATACAGTCCTTCGATTGATATTTTTATGATGTATTACGACTGTGCCTTTGTTTGCTACTGACCGGACACCGATTTATTACACCGATTATTTTATCAGGGGTTTAATGTAATGTAATGTATTTAGTAATTTATTCTTTCTTATATATGTTTTTATGTTGTATTTCTATTTCGATTGTGACGAATGTATGCCCTCTGGGTTATTAACATAATAAATTATTATTATTATTATCTACAAGATTAAGGAAACGTATAACCAAACTCTTATTGTTGGTGTTTGGATTTAGCAGATCCCGCTATACAAAATCGTTTATGTGATTTTAAAATTTGAGGTTGGTACCGAACATTGGGCCATTTGGCTTAGGAAACAGGAACGAACGAGGTCAAATGCTACAGGACTACTTGAGCTCTGAAAGTTTAATTTGCATCGACACTCACTTAAAGAAACCACCCCATAGGAGGTGCACATAGGAAAGCCCAAACAATAGGGTAAAAAATGAGAACGACATGAGAGATCTACAGCGATGTCAGTGTCTTCAACTCATTTAATATTGGCAGCAACCATAAAGCGAAAATCAGTGTCGACACTAAGCTGGAGAGGCGCAAACTGATAAAGAGCTGTGGTTATCCAACTTTGGCAAAACTAGAGCAAAGGTAACCCGAATATCAGGAAACCATCCAGACGAAGGTGTAATCAACGAAAGCTTTGCGTCGCATATACCTCGACGAACTATCTGCGAAGATCACCAACAGCGTTCAAGAGGCAAACAAAAGAATATCCGCCCGTACCAAATCAAGGGGCAAAAGATTCAGTGCCAATACGATGATCCCCATAGAGGAGCGACGTCAAACAAATAGAGACGCGGATGCATCCACCGCGATAAAACCCTCAACAAGATCATACCGAAAGAAATCCGGAAAGATCTGAGAAACCATATTGAAGAATCAATATGGTTTCTCAACAAGCAATCGCCAACAATACCAACATGCGAATTCAACGATTCAAGATAACTTGAGGAAAAACACATATCTCCAAGATGAAAAACGAACCGAGAGAAATTGTCACAAAAATCGTGAATGTAGTGAAAATCGTCGAGAACTTTTATCGCAAATAATACAGTACGGCGATCCCATCTTAAATATGGGCTCAGAGGAGATACTATAGATTGATAGTGATGAATTGCTTTAAGGAGGATGAGGAACGAAAAAGTACCTGGAAAAGACAGAGTTACAGGCGAAATGCAAGATGAAAGGGAAATCACTGGAGGCATTGCTCATCCTATGGAACAGATGCCTGTAGGAACAGAGGATTCCAACAGCCAGCGTGGAGAAATGCGAAGGTTACCCTGCGGTCCAAAAAAAGGCGATTGCCCAAGAAATTCAAGCAAACGTCGAAAAGTCGAACAAACGGGTTTTCGAAAAGGCTATAGCACGATATATCACCTCCAAATCATGGATATGCTAATCGAGAAGACTTCGTCGAGATATGACCAATACTAGAAGTAATGGACAAGATGAAAACTGATTCACGATACTCTAACCTTGTCCAATAGATTTATATTTTACCAATGCAACACTAACTGGATGAAGATATGCCGACGAAGAAGATCCTACACTATTCATGTTAGCACTGGAGAACATCTTCGAGAAATTACCTTCGGTGGAGACTATCAATATTGAGGACACCTACCTAAATTACCTGAAATTCGTGGATGACATCGTACTGATAAGCAGGGCATAGAAAAGTAGACCACCGAATTAACAAGAAGGATAGTATTGACATGGGCAGCGTTTGGGAAACTCGACATCATCCTCAAAAACCCAGCTGTGTCTATTAACCAGAAAGGGAAAGTGTTCGAATTAATAGGCTAAGGACAAACCAAAAAGAGCCATGGAGAAGGCAATGCAGGGGATCAGTCTCATAGACGGAGTGCGCAATAGAGAGATCAGAAGGCGTACTAAGAAAATGGGTAGATGACATCAGCCATCTCTCTATTTATATAAACTAAAATATAAAATGAAGGTAATTGAAAAAACACTTGATTTAGAAACCACTAATAAACCATTAATAAAGAAAGTAAAAAGAAAAGATACAATTTTCTTTATGAGATCATTTTTAAATCACCGAGATATTTGAATTTTTGTCAACGAATCAAGTGCCTTTTGTTAATTCTATATCTTTATCGATGCTATATGAAAATGAGATAAATTTGAAAATTTTAACATTGATTTAGAATATAAATAAAAAACGGCCTATAAATTGGAAAATATATAGAATTTAATTTAGATTACTATTACTTGTTTACCATGGTTGTCCAAGATGTGATCATAGATCGATGTATTTTCAAATTCTTGTCTGCGATAAGTTTAAATTTATACCAATAATTGCTCTTATTTTCATTTGGTAAAGAACTCAACATATGATCACCTGCTTGTTGTCTGTGCTCATCAGCTTTGATTTTGGCATTGTATATTTCCATACACCTTTATTCAATCAAAGAAAGGTTTATTAGAAAGGTGAATATCATATTTTAAGTGTGTTATCAACGTTTTTTTTTTACGAACATGAATTCTTTTTTAATTTTATTATGGTATGTGACAACAAGAAGTATTGGAGTTTTACACGTTATTTGTTGAACAGATTTTAATAGTTTATGCAGAAGAATTTAATTAACATTATAATTTGATTAAGCTACTATAGCTTCATGGAGCTAGTTGAAAACCCAATCACTAATCAAGCATGATATTGATTGATCTGTTCATGATATTTATTACATCACAAACATTTTCATTTGCTCAATCAATTTTTCATTAAAAGGTTTATAAAGGATTTATCCTTAATGTTCAGTCATTCCTTTCACGTTCAGTCATTGAAAATATCGAGGAATAACTCTTCTCAACACCACCATGGAACTGTTTACGTCAACAATGCGCGATTGGTTGCAAACAGCATAGAAATAACCATATATATACTATCTCCTATATCGCTGACTAAGGCAGCAAAAGAGTGTAAACACTAGAGTGCAGATATATATATATCTGTCTCTGTCGTGCCCCCGTCTACTCAAGAGACATGCGTGAACACGTGGTGAGTACGCTTTTATCTTATTGGACGGTGAATTAAAAATTAATAGCAGCTGATGACCTTGATGTTTATAAATCACCAAATAAATGTTTGACATAAACATAACCTAAAATCTAAATATTTAGTTATGTATATTATAGGTTTCATGTGTATAATAACATAATTATTAACATATTTTAGGACTAAGCAATTTAAAATGTAATTATTATTTGTTAAGAAAGTGAAGAAAATTTGTTAAAAGATATTTTTGGGGCCTAAAAATTGGTTGAGCAGGTAGAAGGAACGATCTCAGTGTAATAAAAAAGAATTCAAAGCCCTCCTTTTCTTGAAACATTTTTCTTAAAAATTTAATTAATAATTACATCGATATGATGAAAATTTTATGATAGAATATTATGTACATTAAATAGTAAGTACCCTAAGTACATATTTTATATCTTTAATTAATGTAACAACTTCATTAAAGGGCGTGAACTCACAAATTATGTTAAAAATTAATAACTATATTTTGGTACACATTTTTAATAATTACTATGTATATATGTATTAATTTAATTTTAAAGAATATAATGTTTAATGAACAACCTACATAAAGTTGATATTTAAAGCAATATTCAACGTCAATTTCACACAAAAGTACATATATTCTAATTTATTTGATGCATCTACGATAATTTATAATTAAAGTCAATTATCTACAATAATTGCATTTCAAAGCTGCATAAAATACGCGCGAAACACTTCAAACTCTTTAAAATTTACGATTCGCGCAAGCACCTTCGCCACATGGGGGCACGACAAAGACAAAACATATATCATTCCGTCTGCTTTTGATGGAAACGCTCGCCACACATTGCTTAGATAGGGAGTCAGCCATATATATACTATCTCCTATATCGCTGACTCCCTATCTAAGCAATGAGTGGCCATATATAGTCAGCCATATATATACTATCTCCTATATCGCTGACTCCCTATCTAAGCAATGAGTGGCGAGCGTTTCCATCAAAAGCAGACGGAATGATGTATGTTTTGTCTTTGTCGTGCCCCCATATCGTGAAGGTGCTTGCGCGAATCGTAAATTTTAAAGAGTTTGAAGTGTTTCGCGCGTATTTTATGCAGCTTTGAAATGCAATTATTGTAGATAATTGACTTTAATTATAAATTATCGTAGATGCATCAAATAAATTAGAATATATGTACTTTTGTGTGAAATTGACGTTGAATATTGCTTTAAATATCAACTTTATGTAGGTTGTTCATTAAACATTATATTCTTTACTTTTGTTTAGGCAACCCAAATAACAAACCAAATTTTATGTAACCATGACAATTTTGTCGATTTCAAATGTTATAAATAAAACAAGAAGCCATTATTGTATTAGATTTTAGGTTATGTTTATGTCAAACATTTATTTGGTGTTTTATAAACATCAAGGTCATCAGCTGCTATTAATTTTTAATTCACCGTCCAATAAGATAAAAGCGTACTCACCACGTGTTCACGCATGTCTCTTGTGTAGACGGGGGCACGACAGAGACAGATATATATATATCTGCACTCTAGTGTTTACACTCTTTTGCTGCCTTAGTCAGCGATATAGAAGATAGTATATATATGGAGTCAGCGATATAGGAGATAGTATATATATGGAAATAACAGAAGAACAGATACCAAAGAAATTGTATATATAGAAGCAGTTGTAAACATTAAAACTTGAAGCCAACGCAACACGCGGTTTGTTTACTAACAACCTTTATCGAAACCAGTTGAAACAATGAACGTGCACAGATCGGACCATCGACCGATTATCGCCGAACACTCCCGAATATTATTTTAGCTCCTAGAATAAGATATACAATAAAATAACGAATCCTATTTGCGAATCAATAAATCTTCTAAGTCGTTCTTCTTTCGATTCGTTTTTCTTCATTTTTATTTATATACAGTGTGTCCCCGGATAGGTGAAACGACTCTTATAAAAGGTAATTTTTTTTCGATNTACAAGATTATATTTATTGTGTTTAATACTTTAAAATCTTATTAAAACTTGACAAAGATATAGAAAAAAATTCATTCTACAATTTATAAAATTATTCCGGCAATAGTTTTTCAATTGGTAGTTAGTTTAACAATTAATTTGTCATTGTAATTTTATATATGAAATTAGGATGCTCTTTATTTTGTTTGCAAACAAATGCTCTTGCGTTGGCTTCAAACCGGTATACGGGTGAACATAGGCGATGCGGCTTCTATATAAATATACAATTCCTTTGACAGATACAAGCACAAGTAATAGAAGTAGTAGGGATATACATACAGGATGTTCATTTCAAAACTTTCCACCTCAATTTCTGTAAATCCGGAAGTTTAAAAAGAAAATCGCTGAAATAGGTAAGGAATAAAACCAAGGGGGACAACTTTTTATGCAAAAATTGACTCACTCACTTCAACCCCCCGCCGCACCAAGGCGAATTTTTTAAAAATCTCGGCCAAAATTGGAAAAATTTAAGGAATAAGATTGAAAATGCAATTATTGCTATTTGATTAAGTAAACCCCAAGGTGTCTAAACACCTTATTTGTTATTATTG